AGCAGCAGCTGCAGCTAAATTTTGTTCATTTTTTGCTTCCTATTTTTTTTCAATTTCTGTATAAACAAGTTTAGATATAAATGTCGAATCTTAATTTTTATACTAAAATTGATTGGGCTACAAATCTGCATACTCAAAAGAATTCTAAAAAATCTGATTAAAAAGTTGAAACTTTTCATGAAAATTTGCTGAATTTCGCGAGTTTTGCACAAAGTATAGGAATTATATTTTTATGTTTTTTGTTGTGGAATGAACTATATTTTTATACGAAATTAGCGGAAAAATATTAGAATGAAAATTGATGCATATATTGTGAAAAATTTGCTGTGCCAATACTTTGTTCCGGCAGTGTATGTATGAATCCTAAAAGATTTATTTAAGAGTAAATTTTTTTTTGTTTTTGAAACTCATATTTATTACTTACCTAGGACTTCTTTCGGACTAATATATTCGTTAATCTTGAAGGAAGTTTATTGTATAAAATTTTTATTTTGATTTGTGTAAGGAACGAACTTATTGTTTTGAGGCAAGATAGTCCTTCATTTTTGAACATTTGTGGATGGAATTAAATTTGTTAAGTGGTGGAAATTTTGTTCTAATGGAATCCCATTGTGGACATGTATATAAAATATGAGGCAAGTCTTCTGAGCGGGAGCAGCAGTCGCAGTGATCGTCAGTTATGGCGTTTAATTTCTTTATTGTGTCTTTTCGCATAGTGCACGGTAGTGCTTTCTTGCGCAAGAAGTAGTCTACATTTTCTTTTGTGCTATATTCGTACCGTACTTCGTACAAACATAAATATAATATCTCCCAATACATTCATTCAATCGCTTAAAATGGGGATAGACGACCGATCGAGGCAAATCAAATATCCCCATGCTTAAGTGGGATAAAACAAAATCTTCAAACTTTAAAAATACCGGACCCGTCTACCTAATCATGTCAAGAACCAATAGTAATCAGACACTATCAAATACTTCACCGTTTTTAATTAAAAAAGTAATTGACGCAACATGCGGCAGTGAAATAGAGGAGTGCAAGAAAACCAAAAATGGACAAATACTTATTAAAACAAAAAATAACTTACAGGCTAACAAATTAACGACTCTAATAGCACTAGACAACAACACATCCATAGAAATAACACAGCATAAAACATTAAACCATTCAAAAGGCGTAATTTACTGCAACGATCTTAGAGGACTACAGGAAGACTACATACTTTCGGAATTAGATACGCAAAACGTAATTGAAGTTAAGAAAATCCTAAAGAAATCCGACTACGAACTCATTGAAACGGGATTGATAATACTCACATTCGAAACAACAAATCTACCATCAGAGATAAGAATCGGTTATGAAAAGGTCAACGTTTGGCCCTACATTCCTCTACCACTCAAATGCAATAATTGTCTAAGGTATGGGCATACAGCAAAAATCTGCAAAGCTGAAAGAACATGCGCAAATTGTGCAAGCAATTATCACTTGAACGACGATATGGAAGAGAAATGCAAAAACGAGGAGGCTTGCATAAACTGCATTAGACAACTACAACAACCCACCAACCACATCGCCACTGACAAAAAATGTCCCATCTTCCTCAAACAAAAAGAAATACAAGCGATTAAAACTACACTCAAAAAAGACTACAAAGGTGCGCTAGCCATCTACAACGAAAGACACCAACACAATCAGCAACCATACTCAACAATAGTAAGAAATAATCCCAACACAAGTAATCAGGAATACAACCTACCAACAATGGCGCACAACAGAAGCACATCTACCAACCCAGCAATAAACAAAACTGTTACACCAGCAGCACACCTACTACCAAAACCAATTACTACAAGAAGAGAAGCAGTCGACTACTCAG